ACAATTTTTTCTTACCTGTGTACTTAGGTTTTAGAAAAAAAATATATATATACTAATTTCCCCCAAACATAGAGTGATTTAATCCTCTATATATTAATTGAGGAGATATTTGGTGGAAAAAAATCATATGTGTCACTCAATAAGGGTTTTAAGAGACATATCACTTAATTTAACTAATCAAAACATTTTAATTTAAAGTATATGCCATGGTAGAAATTCTTTATATATTCTTATTAACTTTTAATATAAATCTATTAATACAAGTTTAAAATTTTAAACTCAACTAAAATGTAATATTTTAGACGTACAATAACATCTATTTTTCTAATATATATATTAATAAGCTTTTTATTATTATATTTGTACTAATTATCTATTGTGTATATTTAGATTAGTATACTATACAAATTTTTTTTGTGATATGCACTCTACTATATATATTTAATCACACGTACAAATATTTTTACATTTATAGGGTGTGAATGGTATTATGATAGAGTAAAAATGTGGAAATTAAAAATGGAAAACAGAGGAAAGAGAAAGGTAAATCTAGAGTAAAACTTCCCACTCGTTTAAGGTAAAGGGATAATTTACACTATTTTTCTCAATCTTTAGCGTAAGTGGGCTGAAAATCTTTTTTATTACTCTCAACTTGAAAACTCTCAAAAACCAAACCTCAGGTGTTCGCCCTAGCCGCCGTAGACAACTTCCACCGACGTGATCTCAACTTGACTGGCATTTGGTGGCTCCTCCAGCACTGACACCGGTCCGCCTCTTCTCTTCCCTTTTCGTTTTAGGTTTTCACGGTTCATTCTTTGGAAGACGAGGTTGGTTTTTGATGGGTTCGAGTGTTGCAGCTTCGCCGTCTAGGGCATCTACGAAGTACCAGTCGATACTATGGTGATGCGCCGTGACCTCTGGTGGCTTTCCCCAATGCCTCCGGTCTTTGGGCTTAGATCTAGATCTGAAATTTCTTCTGGTGAGGTAATAGTCACCGGCTTTCTTTCGGATCTTGGATTTCAGCGGCTTTGTCTTGTAGCAGATCTGATGTTGTTACTTGTTTTTGGATTGTGCTCCCCGTCCGGTTTTTGCCGTCAGAATTAGTCTCCTTTTCCTAGGATTTTGTTAACTTATTGTAGGAGATTGGGTTATCTGTTGAAGATGATTTTGGTATTTGGGTATTCTATTTCGATGTTTCCTCTTCAGTCTCTGTAATTAAAGCACGGTTAGGTCCTTTTGACTGGGTTCACCTCTCCGACAGTATTGCGTTGCGGAGGCATCTACTAACCTTCCCTGGAATCTATGTAAGGTTGTGAGTTTGGTTAAAGACGATGCAATGCTTTCGACCTTTAGTTCTTATCTGGCGAGGAGGTAGCCAGTCTTGGGCTGTAGATGGCTATGTTTGGGATGCGAGTGTCCGCATTAAGAGTGATTGTCTTCTTTGGCGTTTTCCCAGTCAGAGGTCAAAGTGTTGTTGCTTTGAACCTAGGTCTTCTCAAGTTCGCGGTTGATTTGGAGAGTTGGTGTTGGAATGGTTTCTTTCCTCTGTGTTATTTCGATCATGCAAGCATTCCCGTCGGTGTTGTTGTCGGTAAGGCTTGATATGGGCTCAGACCACATGATTTCCAATCTATAGGATTTTTGGTTGTTCTAGAGATCTTTGCCTTTGTTTGTTTGGTTTAGCAACTGCATCAACCTTCTTTAGAAGTTCGTTTTCAATATTTGGCTAAGTGGTTATGCTTTAGAGTCATTGTCCCAATCTTTTTCCTTTTCGGTCCTCTTTCTTTTAGCTTAAATTTATGCTCGTGTTTGTATCTTAATCTCGATTCTGTATGCTCCTCTTGTTTGAGCTTTGCTCCCCTCTTTTGGGCTCTGCTCCCCGCTTTAGGGATTGTCGTGCTCTCCTTTGTAACATTTACTCGATGAATGATAATAATCAAAATCTTTAGATGAAAAAAAAAATACTTTCAACTTGAATGGTTGAAACTTGAGGGATTGAGCTGAATTTTCTTTTGACTACTTTTTTTTACTCTAAGAGCATCTCCAACCCAACACCAACTCCTACACCAAATCTTATTTTGGTGTAAAATTCTCTCCAACCCAACACCATTTCGAACACCATTTTGGTGTTAAACTTTTTTTTATTTATAAAAAGGTCCTTTCAATTTTAAAAAATTTCAAAAATGATGAAAAACATATATAATTAGTGATGGTTAACCCAAAATCTAATATATTTGGTG